CACCTACTGGAGCACAATCGTATGGTCTAAACCCCAAGGATAAAGAGAATAAGAGATTGGACATCAGCCTGTGAGGCATTTCAATAGTCCTTGGAGAATGGAAGGTGGATGGAGGAGTGGTATTGCTAGAACAGAACAAAGGAAACTACAAACGAAGTGCCTGCAGCATGGGAAACTATTGAGGAACAAGCCATCTCACTGCAGAACAGTGATATACTGGAGCTAGCTCATTCTGGCTTATGAGAGTGGAAAAATAAAATTAAAAAATTGAGAGTGGTGGCTCATGACTGTGATCCCAGAGCTTTGAGGTTGAGGTGGGAGGATCACTGGAGCCCAGTTCCAGGCTGCAGTGAGCTATGATTGCACCACTGCACTCCAGCTTGGGCAAGATTCTGTCTGTTACAAAAAAAATTTTTTTCAGTAATATTATCCTTGTATGGTGCAAACACTATATAATACTGTGCTACTGCCCACTTTCCAGCAAGGAAAAGGCACTCCATTTTCCAGACATCTATTTAGTACCATACTTGTGCCAAGCACTGGGAAACAGTGATCAGCAGGAAGGACAAAGAGCCTGCCCTCATAGGGCTTACAGTGTACAGAGGCTGGAGTGGTGACATTTGTCAAATAACCACCCAAACACTTAATTAGAAATCGTGATAAGCCCAGTGAAAGAAAAGTACACGAAACATCTTTATTTGGGAAGGGGGTGGTTTAGGGGAAGGATCGAAAGTGACAATGGAGCTGAGATATCAAGTTCAAGGAGGAGTTAGTGGGGGAGGGGCTGCAGGAAGAAGTACACGCCTGGAGGCAGGAACAGCATGTTTCCCAACAGTTCGGGGTGGAGGCCCCAAGCTGGTAAGAAACAGCTATGGAGAAGGAAGCTGAGGAGACCGTGTAGACCCTGCAAGTGCTAGAAACTCGATCCACACTGGCTTCACAGGGTGCAGGGGAGGTTCTTGTTGGCTTCCATAATAGAAAAGTCCAAGGACCTACTGACTGCAGATTCAGCGTAAACTCATCTGGGCCCGGTCTGCATCCCAACCTCTCTCTCTTCTCTCAGGACCCTCCTCAGTCAGTTCCCCTCCTGGCATCCCAACAGCTGCGGCGTCAGTTAGAGAGAGCGAGCCTCCAGCTACATTCCCGGCGCAGGGCAGCAGACGGTGTTTCCTGGGCTCCGATTGGCTCAGTGGCCTATCTTCGGAGCGAATCAGCGAGCGGAGAGGGATTAACTGCCCTGATTGGCCAGATCCAGTCACATGCCGATATGTGACGCGTGTAGTCTATGCCAGCCACAGCGGAGGTGGGGGGGTGTGTCCGGAGTTAGATCCCAGCGCAGAAGAGACTTGAGCCCAGCCGACGTCCCGCAGAAGAGGAATCAAATTTTGTTATGCAGATAATCACTGGAGTCATGGGCCTTGTTCCTTGCAAAGGGATTTGTCCCTGTAAAGTTGTCAGGCAAAGGAAATGTCTCAAACGACTGAATTTCACGAAATATCACCTAATTTATAATTCGTTGGTTGAGATGCTTGTATTCTTCGTTTCTACTTTTTTTTTTTTTTTTTTTTTTTT